AGGGAAGGAGGACAACTTTCTTAGGACGCTTCTCAAAATTTGGGACCTAATACAGGAAATTCTAGAAAAGGGTTTGCTGCGGCAGCCACGATTACGAAACTTTATGTACAAAGCTAGTTAGATCTTTCGAAATTTCAAATAGTCGTTCAAAACATCCACAATTAAGTATAGTCAGTTATACACTTTTGTAAGGATGTAAGTAGCTTTCAAACATTTCCCGACCCATTCTCAGCCTCCTCTCTTACCCCTGCCATCTGACTCCTTCGGTCCGCCCCTGCTATGTAATAATCACAAGAAATCTAACAAAAAAGTAAATAAAGAACCTCTACCTGAATGCAATACTAATTAAGGAGTCCTATGTAATTTTATAGTGATAGCACATTAAGAGAGATGCCCTCTATAATATGGAAAAATATTCATTCAGGCATTAGTGTGCAGCAAAAGAATCAAGGACTTTTTGAGAGCTGATGAGCTCGAAAGGAAGGACAACGTGGTGAATGAGGAACCGGCTTCAATTTCTTTGGAACATTGCTTTTTCTCATGGGATAAGGAAAAGGAACATTTGAAGGATGTAAGTAAAGGGGGAAAATGTTTGAACTTATGCTGACTCATGGAGACTGTTCAGATCACCTTAAATGTCCAGGAAGGAGAATGGCATGCTATTGTTGGGCCAGTCGGCAGTGGAAAATCGTCATTGCTGTTGGCTATATTAGGTGATAAAAGATGAGAATAGTTTTTCTCCAATTTTACTCTCATCTGTGCTTCTAAGTTAACCTTGAAGATTCATGAAAACTTCAATATTTTTAAGGTGAAATGACCCAACTCGATGGTTTGCGAAAGGTTGGTGGTACGGTAGCCTATGTGTCACAGTCGGCATGGATTCTCAATCAAACTGTCAGAGCAAATATTCTGTACGGCCTGGACTATGAACGTAATAGATATGATAAGGTCAGTATTCGCATGCCAGCTGAATTTCATAATTTTGAACTCATCAAATTAGGTTTTACGAGCTTGTGAGCTCAAGAAAGACATCTTCTCATTACCGCGATGTGATGCTACTATGTTGGGAGAAAATGTGAGTTCATCCAAGTTCCTCTTGGATAGCTGTTAGTAGAAGTTCCAAGAAGAGCGAAAAGCTTTTAGTCTTGCGTATTTTAGGGAACAAAGCTATCAGGAGGACAGCGTGTGCGGGTTTGCTTAGCGAGAGCCCTCTACCAGGTGAACTCTTCATGAAGTCTTGCGTTTCCAGATTAGCGCCTTTTCTCTGCTAAAGGCAGAATTGATCAAAAAGTAATTGTTAATCATCACATGGAAGAGTAAAAAGTAAAACACAGGGTGTCTCAAGGCATGTATACACCGTTTGGTCGTTAATATCTCCCCTCACAAGGAGTCTTCTGCCTTCTTCTAAGCATCATTTTGTAGCTCGCTTCAACTTAAATTTACAATATGGAGCGAATCACCGATCGTTCTTCATTACTGTAGATTACGGTAGGAACTTTGGAGAGGGTTTTGAGTTATTGAA